GGCGGCAGTGTCGCAACTCGACAACAGATGGCAGCACCGTGTCCCGTCGGCAGCCTTGTACGGGGCACAATACACATCAAGACCCTCATATCCAGAAGCGTTTCAAAAGTGTTTACCATCGGCGAGCATCCCAGATCATGGGTGCTTTACCACCGCGTCAGACTGATTTTGTTTGAGTTGGCTTGTAATTCGGTTTGGGCACGGGTCGCTACTTGCTACTTGCTACCTTCGTTGACACTGCTTTGATAGACAGTAGGTATGTTCGTCCAGCCGTCTGTAAACCGTTGTCACCGTTCCGGGGGTACCGCCGTTGTGACGTCACGTGTGTTGTGACGCGACGTCACGCTGGCTCACACCTGACATCGCTGTGCTATGGTGGTGCAGTTTCAGTTTATACCTATATACCGTATATACCGTGGTTTATACCAGAGAGTGGTTGGAGGCGGAGCTAGCTGTGAGGGTGGCCGGTCCGGGCGATATCGGACCTCGCTCGTCACTGTGTCGGACCGTCGGTGGCCCGGTCGGCTGTGGTTCGTTTGGACCAGGTTTGTCCGGTTGTGGTTCGTTTAGACCAGATATGTCTGCCTGTGGTTCGTTTGGACCAAAGTCCGTCGGTTCGGTGTCGTTCATGGGATAGCACGGGGTGAAGGCAATTGAAATACACAGTGGTTCAGACGCTCAATACACAAATGTTACTGGAAAAAAGAATAGTGTGAGCTCTTTTATTTTATTTTTGTCTTGAGTGCTTATTAAGGGCCGAGGGGTAGGCATCATAGTGTGGGTCCAGGTGTCACGTGTGACTGATGAGCTTGTCGTGATAGTATAGTCATCTCGAACCTTTGTCAGTGGTCACAGGCCAGACCGGTGTCCGATTTACCACTAGTGATGGTATGCGTTTTTTAGCATGCTTTACGTGGATAGAACGAACGCACCACGTCTTTCTGGGTCTAGTATGTCCCTCTCACAGCTCACACGAGTTACGAGTTTATCAATTGAGGCCAGTTTTACCAACAGGAAAATAGCCACCTACCGTAATTTTTTGTCTAAAGACAGCTTCACATACGGAGCGTAAATGCGATTGGCGCGTAAGCTAATAGGGCTTTACCGTTTACGCTCCGTATGTGAAGCTGTCTTTCGACAAAAAATTACGGTAGGCGGCTATTTTTCTCACGCTGTGGGTAAAACTGGCCTCTGGTCTAATATCGACATAGGTTTACGGGACCTCTCGACACTCGGACATTCGCCACCGATGCATGAAGTAGACCTCTATTCCACCCACAGCCAAAGCTGCACGATGACTCGACGTGAGTGCTTAGCTGACTCTCTCAGTATTCAGTACCCACGCTCGCTCATGACAACGGGCAGCCAATGTGGCAGGGGGACGGCCAAGAGCTTGGAACGATTAAAGCGTCACCTATAGACGACTATACAACCACTAGTATTGATGTTTTGCCAGTAGGTGACGCCCTGGTTCAGGGTGTTAGTATACCGATAAAAGCAATCAATCCCTAAACAAGTAATGCGTTTGCTAAATGTTGCAATTTTATTTTGCTGTCGCATGCATTGTGCTGTTTTACTTGGTACCCAATAACTCTAAGGAAAGAAAAATAATTTAAATGAGATCTACTGCTACGGACGACGCACCTAGCATGATAGATAGATAGTATACGATTAATTCGTTTTTTCTAAGGTTTTTGAATAACAGGATGACACTACACTTCGCCAACTGCCAAGCCAATTACCGACTGATGCGCCGCAGTAGCTGAGCCCATCGTTAGACAGACCAAACAGCGATTCGAGTGATCGCCTCGGATGGGTATGCTCAATCAGCTCAGACACCAGCTTCCTGACAACAGATGTTTTAAAAACATCTGCTGAGAAGTGTCGGTAAATAACCACGATAACGCTCCTCCCCTTTCAGTGTGTGACGATAGCTGGGTGTTCATTTGGTCAACAATTACCCGGTCAATCGGGTGACGCCAGTCACCTCACCAAAGAAGTCCCGGCGCATGCCCTGCCGCTGCACTGTCTGCTGTGAAGGGTGGCTGCCGGACGACTCCTAACGCAAGACGACAGTCTCAATTTAGACACGGAAAGCAAGAGCGTGTGTAAGTTGCGAGAGGTGAGTGATAGATAGTGGATGTTTCGCGTACATCACATCTTCTATCAATTCATTAATTTGTTTGTACGACATTTGCAGTGATAAAGCCATACACGAGCACCGTCGTGATCTCACACCGTCCAACTTGCCATTCTCTGTCGGAGTGTTGGCTCTAGTTGATCTGTGCCATCTCGCCGACAGGTGCAGCAATGCTGGAAGGGGTGCGGTGCCGGTGGGACCTCTGTCCCACACAGCTGTGATGGGATCTCCATCGGAGATCGGGGTGGGACCGTGGGACCGGTGGGATCTCCGTCCATCCGCCAGTCACCTGAGATGTCGCCCGTCGGAAAGTCGAGGACTTCTAGACTCTCCTGAAGTCTCATGTCTGGCGAAGCAAGGTAAGTTGAGTTAGTATGAGCGACCTTGCGTAAATATGCTAGAAATTAACATTCAGTGCGATCGAACATAAGATCGGCATATCAGTGCTTTTTACTCGGATGCCGAAGCAGCTTTAGACGCTGAATGATTGAATGTACTCTAACTACTGTTATTTCAGATGCACCTTGAAGCTGGACCTATCGTTGGTGGTGCAGCGTATCATATCAGCGTATTGGTAGTCCCACCACCGGACCACTGAACCTGGTGAGTTGGTTGGTACCGCACCTTCACTGAACCTGGTGAGGTAGTGAACTGAAAACTAAAGCGGCGTTGGGTGTATCCACCCGGCATTGTTATTGAATATTGTCATCCTGTCCGATAGTCTTTGTCATAGTTATGGATATCATAGCGAACTTAAGTTACTTAAATTTTCTTCCATAAGAGAACACGGCATCCTGAAAAATCGGGCTGAGCTGAAATGTATGCCGTCAATCGCATGTACTAGCAGTTCGTCCTTTTGCCGCCAGATGTAATTGCTGGCTCGGAACTGACTCCAGATCCAGCCTGTCGCCTCGCGCCGGAATGGTCCTAGCAAGTGGGTTATATGGCACTAGCCATGACCTTTCTATCTGCCCTTTTTCATCTGTCCTTTCCATCTTCAGAACCAACCCTTCTTCATCTTTGATCGCACTTTCCCAACTATTTCGGGCTGACGGTTACCCGGCCACCAGACAGCCGGAAAGGACAGTTCCAGAAGAGACATGTCCTTCCGCGGTAACTGAAGGGCTGGGAGCTTGGTGGCCTGCCATTCGACATCCCCGTCCCAATGGCAGGGCTCAGCCACTGCGGCACACCAGTCGGTGGTCAACTCAGCGCAGCGATTTATCTCTATACTCTCCTTTCATAGCCTTAAAATGGTTTAATTAAATGTATCAACAGAGACTTATCCAACCTAACAACAAAGACCTTGTGCTGGTTTAGTTAAATGCCTGCATTAAAGTTGAACTGTAGATTTTATTGAAACGTCTAGGATAGGTACAAATCTAACCCTCCGAGATATGATGAGAGTAGCAAGGTATGATGAGAGTAGCAATCATGGGACCAGGTGGTTGGGAAAACAGCACGTAGGCCTGTCAAAAGTGTAGAGATTATACACGGGCATTACTCAATGACCATTGTTCATCACTCCATGTCGTCAGTTTCAGGTTGATCGGTCCTATCCGGCCTGTCCGGCAGGAATGCGTCTCTGGTTTTAGTGTAGGAAATATGCATTGTGGCGTGTGAAAGTTGAATGGATTTTGCATCGGATTGTATTTTATTTCTCGCACGTCGTTCCCCGATGTATTCGAGGCTGTTTTCTCATGTTCAATCATTCAACATCCTCGGACATTTGTGCTTACATAACACAACATTTATTAATTTATGATACGGACAGTTGTTCAAGTTTCACATCTGCGTCGAACGAAATTATTGGAACTATCGATTTCACTCTAGGCGAAAGACTGTGTTCTAAATATGGAGAAAGAAACATGCATTTGTGAAACAAGTACAAAGGCCATAGGTACCTACTCCGCAAAATTATAAAGTTCATGTACTATGCAACTTTGAAAGTTTGAACATAGCCATGTATGAAACTTTAGCTTGTCCGTACTTACCATTATTTCCAGGAAACAGAACAGATGCGATTAAAGCATCTCATCGGTGGGATGCATCGAGCTCAGGTGCAGCATGTACTAACCAATCGCTCGCTCCCTGTTTTGAGCATATGCCGCCCCTCAGTTTCATTTTTCTGAGTGCCTGCTTGTCGGCTGAGCGGCTTTATGTGGGATGACCGATGCTGCGCCGGCGCCCGGCAGAGGGGACAGAAGGTCTCGGGGGCGCTGCGGGTGTCGGTTTTTAGCGGCCCCGCTGACGGATCCGCTGTTCCGGTCCAATTAGCGGCTCCCGCCCGCTGCCGGCTCCATTGTGCCGCCCTGACCGATGGTTCCCGCTGGGAAGGACGCACCTGTGCACGCTAAATGGTCCGATGAATATTGCAGCACGCCTCTGCGCTATCTGCCGGAGTGTGACGAGAGCAGCCCATTGTCGGCAGCGGGGCCGGGCCCGGCGCCAGGCCTCGGCCGGGTGCGAGTGAATGCCCTGGAAACTGCGGGGTAAATGGCTAGGTGCAGGTCTTACGGTACGGACTTACCGTTCGAAACATATGGTTAGATCACGCATTTTTGTGATAGAGCAGCTGGAGACCTCTCGAGGGGGGAAACGGGTACGCAAGTATCATAGCATGCTTATTGTTAATTACTAATGGGCTATAGGACTGTTAATGAGAACCAAAGAACTTGAATAAAAAATAGCCATCACCCCACGGGATGCTAGTACATATGCCAAAGGAAAAGAGCAAAATCAAAATCTTACATCCAGTATTCAACCTATGATCGGGCTATAGAGCGGATATGGTGTTCGTCAAGAGAGGAATCAAAAGAAATTCGGAACGTGCGTGAATGGCATGAAACGAAACGGCTCAAATGAAACGCATTTTTCGCATTTCGACAATTTCACCGGATTCCTTGGCTTTTCTTATGTCATATTTTAAATTCACCGTAAATTATCAACTTTATTTATTGTGCTAACGCCAAATAATATTAAGCAAATTAAGTTTTATTCAACAGCATGGCCTGACTGAATTGCTTCACGTTTCGGTCAGCCATGGCATCTGACGTTGCATCGTTGGAGCCGTCCGCTGACGATGATGTCAAGAAGAATGCTGACGAACAAATCGATAAAGCAAAAGATGAGACGGTGCCCGACCAAACTGAAGCAACAACCGCCGATGATGCGGCCAAAAATGCTGCACCATCGGAAGCAGAAGAAAAGAAGGTTAGCGTTATGGAGGCACATGGGTATCTGCTCGGCACTATCCTTGGCACAGGCTCCTATGCTACCGTTAAAATGGCGTTCTCCTCGCGGCATAAATGTAAAGTTGCTGTGAAAATTGTTTCTAAGAAAAAGTCACCCACAAGCTATGTGCACAAGTTCCTACCAAGAGAAATTGATGCCGTACGCATACTGAGGCATCCCAACATCATATGCTTCCTTCAATCCATCGAGACCACCAACCGCGTGTATCTTATCATGGAAGTGGCCGATGGAGGTGACGTTTTGAAGGCGATACGAGATTCCAAACACATCGAGGAGCCGGACGCTGGCAGGTGGTTTGGTCAGGTCCTAGGCGCCGTCGATTACTGCCACAAACGAGGGGTCGTTCACAGAGATCTGAAGTGTGAAAATCTCCTCCTTGACCGTGCCAAGAACATCAAAATCACCGACTTCGGGTTCGCTCGCGTGTTCGATCCCAAGGAGGCGATGGAGCCGAGTAGCACGTTCTGCGGCAGCTACCCGTACGCACCGCCGGAGATTCTGCGCGGCATCGCCTACCACCCGCCGTCGGCCGACGTCTGGAGCATGGGCGTCATCCTCTTCACCATGGTGTTCGGCCGGCTGCCGTTCGACGACCACAACCACCGCACGCTCATCAAACAGGTGATGGCGGGCCCCGTGTTCCCGGCACGGCACGCCTACCAGCTCAAGGCATCCGCCGAACTCCGGGACCTGCTGGTCAAAATTCTGAAGCCGATGCCGGCGCGGCCCGGTCTGGACAGCATCAGACAGGATGCTTGGTTCGCCAAGCACTGCGCCGGCTCGGTGGTGGTGAAGCAGAGCAAGGACGGCACATCCTTGATGGAGGTGCTCAAAGAGGACGAGAGTCCCGCTGTCGAGTCGGAAGACGCTTTCTCCGAGTTCTGATCAGAGTCAGTGTGAGGTAAAGTCGCCACTAAGTTTGGTCTATCGGATTTGTGTTGGATGTGGAATTATGAAGACTTATAAGTTATAAGAAACCTTACATAAGTTGTGAGGTGCCAGTGTCTTCTGTTGATGACGTTATTATGGGTTCACGTTAAAACTTCTTCCCATGTCTACCACAAGAAACTTATAAGCTCCATACAAAGGAAATATATTCATAAAAAAGTTGCATCAACTGTGTGCATTTTGATGTACATTTTTTGTTGTAAACTATTGAGTAACGAACCAAGAAACATGATAGCGAGTGCAAAAAAGCTCATAGCACCCTCCACAATTAAAGGGCATGTCTGTGATACAATGCCATGACATTCATGATTCAATGAAAGCCGACGTCAGGCGGTCAATAACCACGTGGAGGCCTGCGGACATCTGGCGCGGACCGGTCCCGATTGGGTGCCGCTGCCCCCACCCCTCTGAGCACCAAACAGGAGCATTTTTCAGCCGCCACTGACACGGCCTGCATTGTGCCGCTCTGCTCTGGCGCCGGCCGCTGCCTTTTTGCCGCGCGCGCCGGTGACGGCAGGCTTTGTGACGTTCATTCGTCAGCGGCACAAAACCAGGCTGGTGGGCTCCCCTGGTCGGCTGGCGAGAGGAAGGGAATAGATCTCTGGACTGTGACGCACGGCGCACCCTTCCCGATCACACCAACAAACACGACTCTCCTGATCACAACGCAGCACTGGCGCACCGCGGGCTCGTGCAGCCGGGGGATCTGCCGGCGTGAGTTATGGCATTGTGTGTCTTGACGGATTGATACTTGTATTCTTTGGTCGGAATGCTTTTTCAAGTTTGGTTCAACTCAAAACTAAAGATTTTCAAAGTTCGCCGATGATATCCTGGGTTAGGTCATCAGAAAGGTGCTATTGAAAAATGAACAAATTTTAATGACTTTGTTTGCTAACCAGTATCGCATGTACTCGTAGGTAGTTCAGCGTTTCAGTTATAATTTTCTTATATCATTGAGAAGACCAGAGACAGGCACTACACACTCGCTGCATATCTTTTATCCTCAGAATTTCTGTCACCAAATCGCAACATTTTCTCTCGATGCGGAACGCACTTTTGTGTCTGCGCATTATTGATGCGAACAAAAACGCATTCAGTCTCACGCGTGCTCGTCATTTATGCATCCTATGTGCGGCATATGGTCCTGGCGGCGCGGCCGGTGCTGCCGGCACGGTGTTCTCTGCACTCGGGGGCGCTCCATCACGCGGGAACAAAGTCGGCCTGCTCAGCGCTGAGAGCCGTGCCGCTCCCGCCTCCGCGGCGGCGATTATTCGCGGCGCGAATGTATCAATGCGCCGAATTGGAGGTGTCAGTGGCGCTGAGCAATGACGTCCGATCGGTCATCGGCGGCGTCGGCGGCGCGTCGCGATCGGCGCGCCGCAGACGGAGTGACGCATTGTTCCGGTGCCGGTCCACGAGCGACGCATCCCGGCCCGGCGCCGTCCCGTGGGAACCGGGTCGGAAAAGGTGCCGCCCGGCGCCCTGGCACAGCCTGTCACCCCTGTCACCCCCCCCCCCGCTACAGACTATCGGGGACTTATTCTTATGGATGCATTAGCGGGCCCCGGAACTTCGGAAAAGTGTGGTTCGATACAGCATGACTCCCTGCCTCCAGTATGACTCCTTTTCAGACCATACCGATGAGACGCGAAAGAAGAAATGCGCTTCGAAGAGGAAACTGGTCAAATTATTTTGCCTTTGCCCAGAATCTTCGGCCGGACCCTCCTCCGTTACGATATTTCTTTCAGAGCTAGGTAATATTCCCCTCGGACCATTTCACCTTATTAGCTATAAACCAGTAGTTCTCTGATGAAGCATGGCCGAGGATCAGACACAGACAATTTCGTCCGAAATGAACAACAGACGCTGAGTGCGCACAAAAGACGCCGAGGGGACCTGCCGAGTCCCCTCGGCCCTCAGCACAAGCTGCTGAGACCAATATCGGGATCGATCACATGCCGCACCATCCAGAGAACAACAGACAAGGAACAGCGGAACCACTTCAGAGATGAATATTGTCTGAGTCGTGCCACCGAGACGAATATTCACCAAGCCCCATCGTCACTTGCAGCTCACCATCACTATCTTCCTCTCGTCTCTCGCCTGCCCGATGCGTACATACATATGATTGTACCGTCCATTGTTGAAGTCCTGCCGTCACCTGCAGTTCGCCATGGTCTCTTCTCGTCTCCATCCGTCACTCTTCTGAGGTTCTTCTAGTCTCTCGTCTCCCTCTCGTCTCTCGCCCGTCCGCTACGTACCGTCAGCCACCCTGATGTCTCTAGCTCCTTCCTTCTGGGTGTAGTTCGGCGCCCGAGTGACCGTCCACTATTGATTACAATCGTCCGGCAGGGGAAGGGAGCGAGGCGAGCAGCGGGCGCGACGATTAATAGGCGGCCAGATAAGGTATTGATAGTGGCCCTGTGCCGAGTGTCGAGGGGTGGCCGGAGGAGCCAACCCCCCCCCCCCCCCCCCAACAGCGACGATTGCCTCTCCAGTTCGATAGCCGCGGGGAGACGACACGTGCTTCAGATTTCCAGAGGCGGCGCGAACAAAGCGGTCGGTGCGAGACGACGGGAGTCTGATAGGAAACGGACGGCACCGGAATGAAGGCCGGGAAATGGGCTGCTGCTGCTGCTGCCGAGCGGCAGGGATGTCAGGTCGCACCGGTGCCGGCGGGTGCACCGGCAAACGAAATAACGACGAGACTTCGCTGGAGCCCTATCGGGACGTTTTAGCTACCCCATCTCCGAGAGCATCTTTTATGCGAATCAATACTTTATGTACCTATAAGGCATAGGCACGAATTTTCTTAGAATACATCGGTCTTTATAGACTTGTACTTTATAGAGTTGTACTTTTTCGTTTGCATCATTGCGAATTCCTGTTTTTAAAACTTTTTTATTTAGTCGTCCACACTTGAAATCGAGATCTTTAACCGTGGACCAGCTTCATAATATATTCTGTAGCAAAGAAAGGATCTGCCGACAGTCATCTGCCAATGCTTTTTGCTTAATGCCATCCCTTAGCTTCGATTCTATCGTTTGTCAAATCTGTCATGTTGGTATTCTCATAGACCAATATGATAAAAAACAGTGCATAGTCTAGGGATGTCAATTACAGAAAATCAGGATACTGATACCAAACCAAATACCAACCAAAACCATGGGAGAATACCGAAACCGAGCCAACTTGGAAATAACGGGGAAATACCAACTTTTTGCCAAATTCACAGCCTCTTATACATTAGCCAGGATTCGTAATACCAACAAAATACCGAAAACTTTAGAATGGAAATACCAAATGCCAAGCTGCTATCGGTTTGGTATCGGCATGTATCGATATACCAAAAAGTTGATATCCTATTGACATCTCTAATGCATACCTTACCCTAAAATCAAGACTGGCTGCGGTGACCAGATGATTTTAAAATCCTCTTCAACTGCGTGAAAGTTGAGGCGTTCATCTTTTTACCTCAGAATCGCTCATTTCAGAGGATTAAAAGATAATTATCTAAAGCACACAACATGGAAAAGGATAGGTAGTGGAATTCAAAGATGAAAGCAGAAAGTAGGTATAGCATCTTTCATTGATTTAATACTTACAGGGTGTCTCAAAAGTTCGTTCACAGGTACCAGCCATGCTTTTTTGTCAATAATTCTGAATCAACTAGAAATTAACAGTCGAAATTTTGCATGGGCATTGGTGACAACCTTCCTCAAGCAGTCTCATTGTTTTCAAGTGCATTCGACCCTTCATGAGCTCACAAAAAGGGTTCACCTCTGACCATGGATCAGGCACGAAAATGTAGGTTGCAAAGTCGGGTATGTTGTGAAACTCTCTGTTTCAGGAGTAATGGGAATGGTTAAGTCGGAAATGACACATGGCTAAGTGTCGGCGAGGATGAGCGCAACATGATGATCATCTCATAAAAACGGTGGCTAAAATTTTTGAAGGACGAAACCATGCGAGACTAACGGCGTTTTGAACGACCCTCGCACGACAGCAGACTCGTGTTCCGGAAAGCAGCTGAAAATGCGGTCATAACTATGGAAAACTGGCAAGAAGGTCACAGACAGAGGTTACCCATTTTCAAAAAGTGCAGGTCATCGTAAAATAAAGACAAATTATAATTTAAAATTGTTTATAATATCTATAACGCTAATTATTGGGGACAATAACACAAAAATCGTCAATGCCAAGGACACCTGACCCTCCAAAAGTGTCAGTTATTGTAAAATTTTATCTAACGAAGTTTCAAGAGGCAGATCTGCAGCGAATAATTTTCTTTTAAACACAAAATCCCGATAAAACCACACGTTGGACAGGTTTGGGCCGTTTACAAAGCAGAACATCTCCCGAGTAAAACACTCCGCAACCGAGCGAAGGTCTTGGCATGGGGAATGACGAGCGCTTGGAATTTGCAAAATTTGCACAATGTGTCTGAGAAACAGACGTCCGACACATTCTGCTACCATATGATGCGAAAAATTTACTCCTGGTACTTCCCGTTTGTTCAGGACTGGGGTCGTTTTGAAAAGGAAAATGGCGCTTGGGATGTCGGCGCCAGTCATTCATGAAGGAGTTAGCGCCAGATAATGCCTACAAAATACTCAAGAATGGTGCCGATGCAAGCTGTCGGCTTTCAGGGAAAATCAGATGTTGCCGGGGAGCTAGTCAAAACTAAATCCGACGCAAAAACTGCAGGGGATTCCCCTGCAAGAGCTTGAAAGCTGGTAACCTTTTATCAGCCTCCGGCAGCTGACGGAGCAACAAAAATCGGTATGGGCAAATATTTTTGGAGATACAACAAAGGGGTTGGTTTCCAACCTTCTTAATCAGTTGTCAAAGCATGCATATTTGTCTAGTGTACACACAGACACCAAAACCTTATACTTTTGGCCGGTTCTTATATGCTTTATTGGCATGGGAAATGTGTGAACGAACTTTTGAGACACCCTGTACTCTGGCCATGCGTCATATGTCAAACGGACAAGCCTTTGGTCGCTTACCTACATGCCAGCGTCCTAAAATGTTGACCGTTCTCGGATACCTACGTAATTGAATATCAGGGTCTTTGATAGTGAATGTTACTTTTGAACATTTAGTTAGGAGCTCTTAATTTATCACTTCCGCGTGAATTTTATGTGCGTATTGTTGCAAATTGATTAGGGTTTTGTCCCAAAAAATAAAAAATTCACAACGCCAATTTTCCTTCACGGAAAAGCAGAGTATGTCGACACCACTAAAACGCATTACGGATTACGGTCGACGGACAAGTCTTCATCCATTGGCTCTCCCCTGGGTCAACACTGAACGGGGTGGCTTACCTCAGGCTGCTCAAGGAATGCTTCTGCCTCAGGTCAGGGACAAGGTTCAAAGAGACGGCCTGTGGTTCCAGCAGGATGGTGCCACAGTGCACACCATGGCAGCTGTTGCGCCAGTGGCTGATCGAGAATTTCGAAGAGCGCGTTATCAGCCGCCTCACCGAGCGACCATGGCCACCACGGAGTCCTGACCTCTCCCCGCTGGACTACTGGCTTTGGGGAGTCGCATTGGCAGATCTGAGACAAAACCCTCCTGCAGCCATCCACTGTGAACCACAGTGGAGAGGTTTACTGGAAGCCTGGACCCAGACGTTGTGAGGCGCGGGGTCGACACTTTCGTCAGAGGGCCGAAACGTGTGCCTTAATTAAGGGCGATACAGTGGAAAATTCCTGAGGAGCATTAAAATGAAAGTTGTGTGTGCAAAAACGCTAATGTGTTTCTGTTTCATGTGATGGTACATATTACATGAGGAACATATATGTCCTGAGAAATAGCTCTTTCAAAAGTAACATTCATTATGAAAGACCCTGGTGATAGCAAAGCACCTTCCA